AAAATGAAATTTGAGAATGTCACAAACCTAAGTACCTTTACAAGCACCTTTTTATCACTCTATGTATTATCAAAGTTTTGACTAAATGACACACAGAGAGAACAGCAATTTGTGGCCAAGAAGAAATATATAGAAAAATTCTCTTGAGTTTCATTACAGTGTTTACTGTTGTTTTTAAATCCAGTTACTGACACCTTTAATTTACCACAATAAACACAATATTCACTTCAACAAAGACAATTAAGAATTTCCTAAATGAAACACTCTACAGTATTGAACAAATGGTTCAAAACTGGCATTCACTGCATAAAGGTTTTTTACCATTATAAAAAATGAATGCATTAATTTATCACTGTACTTTTTGTCAGCTTTTTGTGTGCAAAGTTGAACACTGAATGTGAGGTTTGTAAGATGACTGTTTGAAGGTAATAGGATTTGATGATGTCACAGTGGCTCAGAACACAGTAGTACACAGTAGAGTCACACACACACACACACACACACACACACACACATTCAGGCCTGTCAGCAAAATTGATTTTAAAGATGCTTTGATCTCTTTTGAACTCATCATTATGATGTAAATAAATTATTCCACAATATATGAAGCTGCCTTGAACTGTTCAAGTTACCTATGTTAGATGCTAACATCAGCTATAAATATCCACCCTGTCATGCACCCTCTCCTGGCTTGGTGGACATACACATCTTTTATAAAATACAAGAAAAGGAGTCCAATTCGTGATTCATATTATAGGAGATGAAAGTAAACTTTTTAAAAAGTAAGACATAAAAGGAACAACTTAATCTTACAGTGGATTTTGGTTTTAAGGGTTGAATATGTAGTTTAGTCAAATATTGAAACACTTTACTCATGTTTCTATTTGTTCCAGTGGCAGGTGTTTGCAGTGTCTTTATCTGGGTTTGTGGTTCACTGATATCATGGTGTAGTAAGGAAATAACTTTTTGTACAGCCTCTCAGGGACTTTGTATCACTGGGTCTACTCTAAGAACACAGTAGAAGAGCGCAGAGTCTGTGAGCTTTAGTCCTTTAATAATAAGCCCAGTAGATGTATCAGTTGTTTTTGCTTCTAGTCGAGGGTCAATGGGGGTACTCTGGTCCCAACTGCGTGATTTTGCTCCTTTATACAGTAAATACTCTGGAGCTTCATTAACACGCTGTCTGTACCAGTAAAGCCTGATATTATTGCTGGTTGTCTCATATGAGCATTTCAAAGTAACAGTGTCTGTTTCTTTTCTGACAAGGTTGGTATCTTCATCCATCGGCTCAATTGTATCTGCAAAAACACCTGTATTTAAAAAAAATAAAGAATAAAATAAAATAAAAAAGATAAAATGAAGAAATTTAGAAATACATATATAATACATTTGTCTATATATAACGACATACTGAAACATCATATTAGAGACTTATTAGTAGCTGCTTTCACTGCTGCATCAACATTAATTAATAGATCACCTGATGCTGCAATGAGATAAAGTGTTAGATATTTCTCCATATGCAGTTTGATGCATCTCTGAGCCATTTTGGAACACAGTGGTCTTTGTGTATGAAAGTGGTCTCAGTGCTTTGCTCTTTACATGAGAAAATCACACTGGGTAAACCCACCCAGGAAGTGCTTGTGGTAAATATGTTGAGTATTACAGCATGAGGCAGGCAGCTCTGAGAGTCTGAACTATGAACTACATCATTAGGACAGTACAAACTTAGTAACTTACAAACTTACAGAGTCACTGCTGTTGAGCTGAGGATAGAGCTGAATTCCTTCTTGCCCATAATGAAATGGTTAAGATACATACAATACAAGTCAAAAGTTAGGACAAGCCTACTGACAATTTTTCTTTAATTTTCCTTTTGACCACATTTTCGAATATTAGTGAATATATTAAATAACAACACACATGTAGTTACACTGTGTTGCATAGATGTCGTCAATGAAAAAACAAAAACACTTCTAGCCTTCACAACTCCAGAACGGTTTAAGCTACAAATATCCATGTATCAGAACACTCAGCAGACCCGGCCCAAACTAGCTCACGTGACGTCATTGAGCTGTGACTTCATTACCAATGAGCAATGAAAATCCCAAAAATCCTTATATTGTTTCTCTGCTTTTAGCCTTTAGATTTCAACAAAGGGTTAAAAGAGCAACATGATCCAAACATCAGAGCACTCAGCAGACCCTGCCCTTACAAACCAGGATGATTTCATCCATCTGTGACCGCCCATCAGTCAGAAATCCAGCTCCAAAATCACCCAAACCCACTTGCTACTGTTATATTACATCTCTGCTTTTAGCATTCATATTATAAACAAAGGGTTAAAAAAAAGACATGATTTACACATTAGAACACTCAGCAGAACCTGCCCTGAATGCCAGAGTAAGAGAAACCAGCTTCAATATCCCACAACCCAGTAATACAGTTCCAAACACAGCCATAACCATTGTAAAACCTGCCATTAGCTCTCTGCATTAGCCTCCACATGGCAACAGAAAGGTCAATACAGCAACACAATGCACACATCACTGTCAGCAGGACTTGTGTGTCCAGAGTGACTTTATGGTGATTCAGCGATGATTCGGTCAGTAATCCAGTTCAGAAAACCACTGTTCACCGTTTAAATGCCTTAACTGCACATGTACGACTTGGAACTTCTCCTCATGTCTCAAACAGTTCTCTGACTTATCCTGATTATCTAATCCTATGTTTTGTGCTCAATACAAGCCTTGTTTATACACTGTTCATACACAACTCCAACTAAAGCATCACATTTAAATCCAAAATGCTGACAGCATCCCTGATACTGCACGGTTCAATAAACTCATTCAGTTAACTCATAATCTCTTGAAAAGCATCAGGAGGGAGCGACAGTTTGCAAACACCTCACATTTATAGTTATTTGTTAATTTCAGATTTGGAATGGTCATTGTCAAAGATAGAATGTTGAATATGTGAATATGTATATATTTAGGAAGTATGTGTTTGTTTGCGTTTGGGGGAATTTATTCATAAGATTTTTAATACTTATAGTAAATTTGAGCAGTACTTTTGAGTGGGCATGTGATAAATATGGGTGGACCTAGGCCTGCTCGGCTCAATCACTGTGGGCTGCAGGGCACAGTAGTAGAGTGCAGAGTCTGATACTGCAGCAGAGGAGATCAACAGATCCACTTTCTTTAATTTTTTGACATGATCAATTGATATTCCAGGAATCGGAGGTTGAGCTTTAGTAACGACCCCTAAATAGTTCAGTATAAGGAACTGTGGAGGTGAATCCGAATACTGTCGATACCAGTGATGACTGTCAGCAGTTCCAGTGTAGTTAGGAAAATGTAACCTTTTGATCTTCAACAGCAAAAATAACATCTCTGTCTGGAGTGATGACGTCTTCAGCTCTGTTACCTGCAATTTTTAAAGTAACTGTGTTAATGATCATCAAACTACATACAATACAAAAATCTAATAAATGAATAGCATTAAAATGTTATTATACCATATGTTAGTTGTAGTAAACTGTAGTAAATTTACCTTTAAGAGCTGAGAGCAGCAGTACAGTGAAAATGATCATGGTGGTCAGCACTGACTGGGAGAAGAACACACACTGAGTTTAAGCTCCTCAGCATGTCAGCATGGCAGTGTGCTGATCATCTCTACTCTTTACACTCACTCAGCTCCTCCCCCTGACTGAAGAACTCATCTTACACTCTTACTGTGTTATAGCCATCTGACCCTGGTCTTAATAAAAAAATAATAATAAGTGAGGAAATAGGAGAAGCTTAAACATATATTTTATCAGGTTTGTGTTTTTGCACTGTTCATTAGGGCTTTCCATTATTATGAATTACAGAACACAGGAGGCTGAGGGGGTTTGTTCATACAAAATCATTAGCCTGTGCTCTGAACTGAGTCATTCAGATCCCTTCACTGTAATGCAGTGCAGAGTCTTATACTGTAACAGAGATCAATCGATTTGGCAACAGGGTAAAAAAAATAAAATAAATAAATAATAATAATAATAAAAGTATTAGAAATAATAGATTTGAGGCTAATACTGAACCATGTTAGACTAGCTAACTGGCTAACTAAGCAGAAAACAAAGTGGCACAGTACAAAGTGCCTAGTGAAGTGCTAGAAAAGATATGATGCCAAACACATTTAATAATTCCAATCATGTTACATGATGTAAACATATGTACACTGTAAAAAGCGATTCTGTGTTTTAGTCAGTTGAACTAGTATGGTCATGTTGAGTGAACTGACCGGCCATTACAACTTAACAAAATGAGTTTTAAGAATTTCAACTTGAATATGAACATTAAAACTTAAAATCGCTTGTTTGAACAATGAAAAAAAGGGTTTCCAATCAACTTTTGTATACGACGCATGCGCCGAAGCTCTGACGTCAGCACTGGTTCAACTTTGAATCGAAGACGAAGGACGGCCATTTCGGAAAACAGGGATGCCCGGCAGTCAAGTTCTACAAACTACAAATACAGCTTCAAATTGTTTAATTTTATGAAGGTCATCCACTACACTACATCGAAGCTTACCTACAGTGCTGAAGTAAGTAACTTAACATTGGCTTTATCTAACTTACTTTTTTCGCTAGCTAGCAGGCTAACGCTAGCGCTTAGCTGAAAGCTATGGAAATTAAATGTTGACTACGTGGTCATATGTGCCAGATGGCCATCGTGAGCTTAAGTTAGTTAACCTAGCTAGGCTAATGACATTTATTTATAGGTTATCAGCTGAAAGTTATCACATTTTGTCGCCTCAGCTACTTGCTTTTAGAGTTAAAGTGTGTAGCTAAGTATTAGGTTAAAATGCAATGGTGACCGGCACACTAAACTCTAGTCTGTTAAGGTATCTTGTTGAGTATGCCTCAAATTGGCGGTATTTGTTGCTATTGTGCACAGAGCTCAGCAAGCTAACGTTAACTAAGTTAGCTAACAGCTAACCTAGTTAGTTGCTAGTTAGCTAACTTGGATATCAGTTGATGGCTAAAAAGGAAGCTTATATAAGTTGAATATAGTCCAAGCTGAGTTTACATATGGCCTTATGGAATTTCATATTCATTTATTTTTTTACTAAATGTTTTCTGTTGTGTGCTGATAACCTAACGTCAAAGGTAACTAGATAGGGTAGCTAGGTTAAGTTAGCTAGCTAGCTAGTGATTAGCTGTGAGTTGCAGTGTGGAGGCGCGGGTCGCGAGGAAGCCGCGTGAGTTCCTAACGTATTTTGTGTCTTTCACGAGAGCTGACCTAAATGAAGGGCATGTCGAATCATAAATGAGAACCGCACTGTTTGCGCTTGGAAAAAGCCTCTGTGTTAGCAGTGTGGCATTCTTTTACCAGTCAAAGGCGAATGAACTGCGGTTATGCTTTCTGCATCGTATTGCAGTTCTGCTTTCCGTACGACTGTTTTCGCGAGCTGCATGCCGCTAGACGTACAAAATGCACCTTTTTGTCACTTGTAAATAGTAACCGTCGAAGAACGGACGCACAGCGTACATGAGGTTAACCGTAGGCTAGCCACAAATACACTAAGTGAGCAAAACTTAAATATACGGGGCTGTTCGTTGCTAATGTCTAAGTATTAAACGAGTGGTAACGCTAAGTGACCCAAATGTCACTGATGAAAATTTGCCCTGGTGAATGAACTGCATCTAAATGTAGTTATTAGACTGTTGTTTGACTGTTGTTTGGCTTGCTTGAGTTGTTTACCTGACATATTTGTGATCAACTTTTGTCTTTCAAGCCATCAAGCTACAGGCAGTGAACTGATTCACGTCTTGTTGGGCCTATCCCTGCTGGTGTTAATTGCTGCAATACCATGTGCAGTCGGGGTGGTGTGGGACTGAAAGGTAAGCCAGTACAAGCTTCAAACTGACCACTTAAATGAATATTTGATTTTAAATGTTTGTAGGTGTTTGAGTTTGAATGATGTTATTCCTAATCCAAAGCTTCCAGTATAAGATCATTTTAAGTGAAGTATAATTATTAATTTAATTAGGTCTACTTGAATAACAATGCACATTAATCACACACCACAGGCTGTCTTTGACAATAATATTAGTTTTTTAATTCCATTGTTTATTCCACAGAAGTTTACATTTTAATGAGTGTACATTCTAACTTTGATAGAATACATTAAAACATTTTGTATGTATCATTATATGAGATGAGAAAAAAAGAATTAAACCGTCTCTGGATGCTCTCTGATTTCATAAAAGTGTATGAAATTTATTTATTTATTTTTTTCTTTCTTTAAAAGGATTACATTGGTGCATATTTCTCCAGTCTCCTTGAAGTTTGAGCAGTGTGGGGCCCTTGACCCCAGCCAATGAGGTGGTGTTGCAAAGTCTGCTCTTTCTCGTCACCCAACCAGCGCACTCTCATAATTCACTACAAACTAAAACACTGCTATCACGCAAGTAATTGTCCCCTACCCTGCATCTATGAAGACTGTGTGTGCTCATTTAGAACTGAACTTGCGCTGAAGAAACATTTGACTACAGACCATAGACAGTCTGGTCAGGTCAGCACTGCAACCTCAAAGCTGAACTGTGATCTGTGCAATTATTCTGAGACCTGCAGTATTACACAGTATTTTGCACACCTAAACACTCATATCAGAAATAAGGAGACTGTAAAATGTCCCTTTGAAAATTGCAGCTTTCAGTCCAGTGTTTATAGTACTTTCCATGCCCATAAGAGTAAAAGCCATCGTCTGTGTACCATAGAGAATTTTTGTGGGGACATCTACCAGCTTTGCACTCCTGGTGTCTCAAATTCTGAAAGTTCGACTTTTGAGGCACATTTGGATCATGTGGACTTTTCTGCATCGGATTGTGATTTACAATATGATGAAGACCTGCATGAATTGCTTCAACACAAATTAGCTTCCTTGTTTCTTCGGATGCAAACAGTTCTTCATGTGTCTAAGGCAACAACTCAAGAAATTGTGAACTCTGGAATATCTGTTCAATTGCTGAAGAGTTCACACCAAAATTAATTGAAAGCATATTGATTAAGCACAACTGTACAGTAAATAATTCCATCACCACTGCCATAACAGAGATAGTCAGAAAAGCAAATCCCCTGTTATCACTGTCAAAGAACGGTCCTTTTGGTTCAGAATACAGAAGAACCACCTTTTACAAGGCAAATTTTAAAGTGATTGAGCCTGTTGAATATGTTTTAGATGCATCTTCCAAAAGAAAATATGTTTATGTTCCGATTTTGAAAATTTTGTCAGAACTGTTAAATCGTAATGATGTTCTAGATAAAATCTTGCAGACAGAAGATACAGAAGCTTTTGGACATTTGACTCATTTTAAGACATACAGAGATGGATTGTATTGCAAAGAGAATCAGTTGCTGTCTTCAGATAGTTTAAGCATAGCTCTGGGATTATACATAGATGACTTTGAAATTTGTAACCCATTAGGAACTTCAAGAAAGAAGCACAAGGTCTGTGCAGTTTATTGGGTGATTTCAAATTTACCAATACAGTATAGGTCCTCTGTGCAGTCCATCTATTTGGCTTGTCTCTGTTACAGCAGTGATGTGAAAAAGTATGGCTATGATTCCATTCTTCAGCTGTTGGTGAAAGACGTAGAAGTACTTGAGCAGCAAGGTTTGTACATTCAGAAATTGGGAGCAAATATTAAAGGTACTGTACTTTGTGTCTGCGGACAATTTGGGAGCCCACTCACTTGCTGGTTTTCAAGAAAGCTTTAATGTTGATAAATTCTGTAGATTTTGTTTAGCTAGCCGCACGGACATAAACGTTCATGAAGTAAGAGAGGGACATTTCCCACTCCGAACAGTTGAAGCTCATGAGCACATCCTGTTGGAATTGAAAAAGAGTACACATTTGCTTCCACTGGATGGTGTAAAAAGAGACTGTGTTCTTAATAGACTTTCTCATTTCCACTCAATACGTGGATTTCCTCCAGATTTTATGCATGACCTTCTGGAAGGCGTAATACCAAATGAGTTGAGCTTATGTCTGAAGTCTTTGATTTCCAAGAATTATTTTACATTAGATCATCTCAATGCAATCATCCATTCCTTTCCTTACAAGTTACTTGATAAAACAAACAGACCACAACAAATTCCAAAATCATTTGCATTGAAAGGTTCCATTGGTGGTAACTGCCATGAGAACTGGACTTTGTTGCGATTACTGCCACTAATGATTGGTGACAAAATACCTGAGAAAGAGAAAACATGGCAAATTTTATTAGACTTGAAAGACATTGTTGAACTCCTGGCTACTTCGCAGTTTTCAAATGAGACCTTGTGCTACCTAGAGTCCAAAATCTCAGACCATAGATCTTTGTTAAAAGAAGTTTTTCCAGATTTCCACTTGCTGCCCAAGCATCACTTCTTAGAACACTACCCCGAAGTTATTCGTAGATTTGGACCACTGATTGATTTCTGGACTATTCGTTTCGAAGCGAAACACAGCTTTTTTAAAAGAGTAGTGCATGATGTTAAGAATTTCAAAAATATCTTGCTAACTCTTGCTACAAAACACCAACTTTCATTAGCTTACTATTTAGACCTGCCAAGTCTTTTCAGACCTGACCTGGAGGTAGGGCATGTTGCTGTTGTTTCACCTGAGACACTAGAGCACTCCATAAAGAAGGCTATAGAGCTCAAATATGCTAGCATTACCACTATATCTCTTGCAACTCATGCATGTCTCCATGGCACCAAGTATTCAGAAGGAATGTTTTTGTCTGTGGGACACACCAGTGGCCTGCCTGACTTTGGCAAGTTAGTGAAAATAATCATTGTGTCAAACAGTGTTTCGTTCATCATTGAACCCTTCACGGCATGGTACATAGAGCATTTGCGGAGTTATGAACTGATGAAAAACCACGCATCTGAGCTAAAGATTGTGGAACCACATGAGCTAAATGGATATCATCCGCTGTACCCATACATTCGAGCAGGCAAAGTAATGGTGACACCAAAAACCTTCCTGCTTCATTAAGGTATAATTGTAGGGCTTAAAACATAATTATTTATAATATTTACTTGCATTACAATATGTTCAAAAATCCAGTTTTGTTTTCACACTATTCAAAGGAACCTTTTTTTTGTTGTTTTTGTTTTTAAAAAGGGCTGTTTATTTTGCCTATTATTTTTTCATTTGTAGTGAACTGCTCATCTACAATGTATTATACATTCAGTTGTGTTGTTTTCTACATTTTTAAATTGTTTTTGGTCCTCTCTGAACTTTTATTAACAGCCCTGGAAGCTCCAGTCTACAAACAAGATGCTTTTTCGTGTGATCATCTCGCAACAGGACATTCATAAAATTAAGCTTGATTCTGTTCCTGAGTCAGTAGATGGCCTCAAACTAGTGCTAAAAAGCAAACTGCAGCTAAAAGAGTCCTTTGATCTTCAGTATGAAGATGAAGACTTTCATGACTTTTGCAACCTTACACATATAGCTGATCTGCCTGAGGAGAAAGTGACGTTGAGGGTCCTTTTCAATCCATCTGCAGATACTTTTTCAGACTCAAGTTTAGACACTGCAAGCTTATCTGTCTCCTCTCCGTCTACATCATCTTCAGCAAGCAAACATTCACAGTCATCTTCAGGTCGTTCACAGCTGTGGCCAGCTTGCTTTACTATTCCCACCTTCTCGTATGATGTTGAGCTGAGGCTGAGACAGGGCAATGAGGCTCATAGAAAAGATGATGCGTTGTTGACCATTTCTAGAGACATTAAGTCTGAAATTCTAGAAAAACTTGCTGAGGCAATATATTCATACAAAGCCTATCCTGGGAATGAGGAATTTGAAAGTGTAGCGATTGCTCTTGTTGAAAAACACCCTTGTCTAAAAGAGCCAGGCTCCGCATCTGGGTGGTATGGGTGGAAACTAAGTCTAAAATTTAAGATGGGGAACTATAGACAAAAGTTAAGGGATGCAGGTTGTCAAGAACTGAAAGTGAATTCAGAGAAGAGAGGTCCTGGCGAGGCCAGAGGAAAGTGAAACCAAGTGAAGAAGCCTAGACGGTCTGAAACAAACTTTCTTCCAGATCTCCCACAGGGAAAAGACCGGAAAAGTCTGGAAGAGGAACGAGAGCAAATCGTTCAAGAAATGAAGAAAAGGAACCCTGACTTTGCTTTTGTAGATGCAAGAATGAGCAGCACATATTCTTTGAGAAGACAGGAAATTGTTGAAGATGAGCCTCCAGTGTCGGAAGTGAAAGTCAGATGGCCGGCACTTTTCACTGAGAGACAGGTTCCTTTTTTTGTTTATTATTACTTTAAATATAAATGCTTGGATTGTAAAGAAATACTGTAGTATAAGTGGGTGATATGGCAAAAATGTAATATAATACTTACAGAACTTTTTACGATTTACAGTAGTTGACAATATTTTTTCCTCCCATCTGAAAACTCTCAACAGCAGTTTCACATTTTTTTGAAAATACTATCCAGAACTATTCAACATTTTATACACTGTGTTATGTTAATCCAGTTAAGTAGAACTGATTATGCTCTCTCTACAATTAAATATGCTGTCTGGAAGTGTATTTTAAGTACTGATAACATCCACGGCACATTCCGAAAGGCATATTGTGAGGGAATTTTCAGGATAACTGTAAATATTGTCATATTGCCCAGCTCTACGCTATAGTAAGCATGTAATGTGATCTCATATTTCATGTAGATCAGCATGGAATTCACCAGGCTTGTGTCGATGGACCTTAGCAAGTCCTTTTATGGGGGTCTTGACTCCCATCTCCTGAAGCTTCTTCAGTTGTACCGGTCAAAACGTTTTGAAGGGATGACAGAAATGACTGCCATACTGGAGAGCCTTGACAAGGATGTAAGTTAATGTTTATTTTCAAACAGCTTTTTAATAGAACAAATGTCAGTTTTATTGTATGTCCTGCAGAAGCTGTGATTTACAAACAATATGGTGCAGGATCCAATAACTTGACAGTTGATCTAAGCTATGATATAGAGAGAGAGAGAGAGAGAGAGAGTTTTTATGCGGTTTTTGCTTTGGTAGGCATCAAACCAAAGGAAGAGGGCAGCGGTGCTGCAGGCTCTGCCTTGGTACATGAGAGAGAATCCTGCTAAATTCATGAAGATATGTGAGGTATGCTAAAACTACAGGAACAGTTCAAACAAATTTATACTAAAAATGAGGTACTATTTATGAAGCTGTCTTTTGGAGTATTGTGTGTGCAAGCACCTTCTAAAACCTAAGTCTGCAATTTATGTTTTTGTTTTTATAAAGCCCACTAATTGTGAGGAGGATGTCATCAAAAGAATGACTATTGGAATCCTTGCCATTGTAGAGGATGTGAAGGAGCCACTCCCAGTGATCTACAGTGATGTGGCCCTGGTGATCGAAGAGCAAGTTGTCCTTCGTAATCTTGGTGATGTACCAAATGCTTTTATGAACTTGATGGGGCTGCTCTATGTTTTGAACATGAACTACCCCAAAGAACTCAAATATACCTTTGAGGTGATTCAGCGTCTGTTCATGGGCATTGGAGTAGATTCCTGCACTGCAAGAGTCCACACACTGAAGAATAAATTACTGAGTTAAAGAGAGAATTTTTTGTGGGTGTAATGTGTAGTTCTCTACAGCCTTAACCTTTAATGCTTTATGTTTTAAATTATTTTATTGATTTTTCTTGGTCTATTATGTAAAAAATTGTTTTCCAAGACTGCAAAATCAGTCTTCTTGTCCTCCAACTATTTTTGCAGAATATGGTGTATTTATTCTTAGTGCTTTTGTCTACAAGTTCCCCAAATACTACATTGTTGATCATTGAAATTGGTTTAACATGGTCTGTGCATGTGCAATGCTCTCCCACATCCAACAGTAACAATGCGCTCCCGCGTCCGACAGTGCACTGTTGCTGTCGGACGCGGGAGCGCATTGTTACTGTTGGATGTGGGAGAGATGCATCTTCAATTTAGTAGCCACACCAAACTGTATTTGTGTCAACGTTTAAGGTTAAATCGTCAGATTTATCACTAGTGACAAAGGCATGTTACCTATTTTCTGGCACTTGCTCTTCAGTTCACACTAGCACATTGCTATTACCTTGCAGGGTTGGGTGCATGGATGCAATGGCCAAAGATCCTTACTTTCAAAATTTTGTTCAGAAAGTAATTTTCTTTTTTTCTGTGTTGTAGTTGGGGATCGTACCACCATTCTGTGTTTTCACACTTTTATCTGTTTCAGCCAGTTAATGTGAGCTCAAAAGGTATATGGTGTGGTGTGTTGTGATGTGATGACATTCTTGAACGCACACTGTCAATCAACAGGAACTGTACTTGTACTGTGTAAGTGTGGATTACTGTCAGTGGCACTGGTGTGTTCTATGGTAGACTTCTGAGCTTTCCACATTATTGGTCTGAATGGAAATAGTGTGAATTATTAATTAAAAAAAAAAGGCATACCAAACAAAATGTATTCCTCATTTGTCATTTCAGAGTAAACTTTTAGTAGGCTGATTTGAACTATGTTTAGTTGATTTAGATCATGACTTGAAAAATATTTTATGAACTTAATTAAACCTATACAACTTAAAATTTTAATTTTACTTAAATTGAGAAAATGAGCCATATCATGTTAAATGAACTTACTGCATGGTTGTCAAAACTGAAAAAAATAAGTTCTACCAATTATGTTTAGAGTTGTCTGAACTAAATTCTTTAAGCTGACAATACTTTAAATAAACAGTTGAGTAAATTAACAGATTGTTGTGTAAACAAAGCTTGGTTAAGTTGTATAAACTTAACATGTTATATCTTTACAACTTAACTGAGTCAAAGCAAAAAGATTACTTGACTAAGTTAAATTGAGTGAACAAATATTTTTTTTACAGTGTAACACAACACACTACCACAGCAGTGGTCTAAGCAAACTTAGTCTCTTTGCATTTAATATGTACTATTATTTATTATCTACATTTTCAACAAATTAAAGAACATTTCCCTGCATACTGAGTACATATTAATAGCATTAATATACTGAGTTTATGTTTAGAGAGAGGAAACATTCACTGCTTTAACTTCAAACAGTCAGAGAGAATGTAATAACAGATAACACACTGTGGTTTGGATGTTACTTTGATCTCCTTGTGTTCAAAGCAAACAGAAGGTGTGAGAGTCTTTGTAAAGCGTCTCAGAGACTTTGTATCACTGGGCTCCAACTCTAAGAGCACAGTAGTAGAGAGCTGTATCTGACAGTCTTAGTTCTCTAACTGTGAGCTCTGTGGATGATCTGGATGTAGTTGATCTAAATCAACTGTCTGGGATACGCTGACCACTGGATGAACGGGCAGCTTTATACAGTATAAACTGTAGAGCGCTGTTGGGGTACTGTTTGTACCAGTAGAGCCGAACATAATCACTACTTGTATCATAAGAGCAATTCAGTGTAACAGATTCTCCCTCTTTTCTAAAAACATCAGTTTCCTGATCATTTGGTTCAATTTGATCAGCACCAAATACACCTGAAAGAAAAAGACAACAAAAAGAATATTTCAAATTGTTTTGAATTGTCATTATCTAAATATTTCTAAGCACATCTTCACAGTGAGTACCTGATGTGATGATGAGAATGATGAGGAGGTTTCTCTTCATTGTGAATATGATCAGATGGAGTCAGTAGTGTGTTTAAGCTCTCAGTGCTCTAATGCTGATCTGTGTGTTAGTGTGAATCTCTCTGAAGTGAGTGCAGTTATGAGGAACTACAACAGGAAACTCCTGCTCTGGGGAGCTGCTCCACTGTGCTTTCTGTCTTTGTGGAAGATCAAAGCAGGAATAAAAGCACAACCACAATCAAAACACAAAGATTAAACAAGAATAGTTAAATAAATGCATGACAATAATAATAATAATAAAAATAATACTTAGAAAGTATGGGGAAATGCAGGTTTTTAATAAATCTTGTTTTAACTGGAATATTCAGTAACAGATGTAACCACACAGGAAAAAAAAATCTCCAGTGTTGAATTAACTCTTTAATTGTTAATTTGTGTTTATTTGGACTTTGGTGTTAATTGCACACTGGAAAGGCTGGTGTGTGAGTTCCAGTGATTCTTTTCAAGAAACATTACCCTTAAAATCTCAGGCTTATTTCATACTAAGCCTTATTATTCGGTAACTTCAGAGACTTCAGTACAAACTGGTGAAGGTATTCTAGGATTATAACAGTGTGTTATAAAACTTTGGGCCCACTGGCAGGCAATGGCCATGTAAGGGATTAAAAGCAAAGGTTTCACACTGGTGACTCTGCTGACTCCACAGTCAGCCTCTTGCAGTCATTCATGCACCAAAGCTTTACTTCAGCTTAGGTCAATTCATGTCTAAGGCTGCCAAGGCTGTTAAAAACAAGTAACTGCAGAAAGGTTGCATGAATCAAGCTTTGTAAAATATTGTGATTATCATTCTGTACATAGTCATTGTCATGGTTCCTTGCATGACAATTTTATATTACTTGTGTTATTGGTAAGTGTTCTTCAGCTAGCTTTAGTTAACCTTATTTCACCTGCCTCTACAGTTTCACCTTTGCTGTGTTTCCCTCTTCTCAGGATCAACATGGATCCTACCAGTTCCTAGAAGAGGACACACTCAGCAGTGCCACTATTCCTATAGGAGTTAAGTATACACAGCTCTTTCTTTAGAAGATTTTTTTCTTTACTTCAAATTTAGTGATAGTCATAATCAGAATATGATGCATATGCAGATATATAATTTAGAATCTTTTTTATTCAAGTTCTTTTAATCTCTGATACACTCATTTACAATATACTGCTGTCATGCCTGATTTCTTTATCTTGTGATAATTTTTTGTACAGGTTTACCCTGATCCTAATGTAAACCTTTAGTGTGGATAAATCTCTCATGTTCATTGTTTCTTTGTAATAAGTATTTTTTAAGCTTTGGTCTTTTTAATACTATTGTTTTCTTACATGTATTATTTTCTTTCTCTTCTGTTTGGATTATTATTTTGGCCATAAATCTCCTGACATTCTTTATCCCAGAATTAACTCCAAACAGAATAAAACTGAATATTTTATTTTTGCTCATATGTGAGCAAATTTATGATACACAGAGATGACTTAGATAACTCACTGAGTGCAGGACTGTATTGAAAAATTGTGTGGTAGGATTTTAGCTTTTTGTAACTCTTGTTGGAGACTGTACAACATTTCTCTATTAATTTCTGGTCCTGCAAAGCAAGCATTGCCCATCAACTTGTAAGTGACCTTGTTCACAGTGTCCTAAAAAATCTTTAATTGGTCAAGGTAACTGCTGCGTATGACCATCTAACAGTCATTTGCACTTTCATGTCTGAACAGCAACAGCAAATCAATTCAGTTTAATTTATATACCGCTGACTAAACTGATTCTGTTAAAATGCATCCTCTTTCTTACTGTAAAAACTTTTGCTTTGTAGTATAAAAAACAATCTTACTACAGTTATGTGAACATATGAACTCCACCTAGTCAAAAACAGGCCTTCTGAATGCTCTGTTTGTGAGTGAAGTGTGTTTTTGCACTGTGTAGCTGAGTTTCCTGTAACTGTGGGCTCCAGAGCACAATAGTACAGTGCAGAGTCTGACACTACAGTATGAGAGACCTTCAGATCCACATGTTTCATTTGTATGTTTGCCTCTGCTGTCAGACGAAGAGCAGCAAGTGTATATGCATTGTACATGTATATGCATTTAGTAGATGATGTAGTGCTGTAGTGAAAATTCCGTTTATTCAGATGATGCATCAAGAGACATTAATACATAGAAATTGTATATTGAAGTGTTTTTATGAGAAAATGTTTTAGGTATGAAAAAGAGAAAAACAGGTAATTATTTATTATTAATAAATTATTTATTTATTATTATTATTATTATTATTATTTAAAAAGGGGATAAAAATCTTCTGTCTTCATTAAAAAAAAATAAAATACAGATTTGTCAACAACAAAAGATGCAGTGAGTAGAAAGCCCCTTAGAGCCAATTCCAAGCCCATCGCATCATGGCTGGGGCTCCCCAGAATATTTAATAAATAACCAATCTGTTTTTTAACTCTGCCTCAGATTCTTCTAACTAGGTCAGACCTCAGAGTTTTTCCTGGTATCCGGTACAGCCCATAATACTTTTCTCAAATACTGATTAACTATAAGTAGTTACAAATGCCAGTTATCAGACTCTTTGAGTGTACTCCATTAATATGAAGTATCAGAAATATATACATGTGAGAGTAAAACTGGTGAAAAACATCTCTCCGAGATGTGAAAGTGATGCTAAAACCTGGGAGATAAGAGCCATAAACCTGTTTGTTGTGGTAAGATCTGGCAGTGCTGAAAGAGGGGAACATCGCCACTGCTGTTGTTGTGGTGTCTCTCAGGCAGTTGAGTCTGGTGCATGGGTGAAGTTAACTTTAGCCACTGTAGCCAGCAACTCTTTAGGGCAGGACCAACGGAACTCAACCTGACTGTGACTGAGCTCAACTTGGCCTGCATATCACCCTTTGTGTGCTTTCCATTATGAAAAAAAGCCAACTAACTAAATAAAATAACCTGCTAA